ATCCTTATTTAATATATGAGGAACAGCTTGAAAGAAAATTATGAAGTCAAAAAATAAAATAAATTAAAACAAATTTCTGAAATAATGCAGTATAATTTATTATTCAAATTTTATAGTATAACGTACAAATCTCAGTACAGTTGATTTTCAAATTCCACGCAACACGGGTCAGAATAAACATGCTATTTGGTTGACTTGAATTAAGCACGCACATCAAGTCTTCCATAAGTAACCAACTAATCCCACATATTTTAATGAACCAGGGATCCTTTATTTATTACAAGTCGACGTAATTTGAGTGCAATCATAGTGGCATTAAAGTAATTTCAAGAACCAGATCCTCATGGTGCTCGTTCATATAAATAAAACAGCAAAGCGCATTTCAGAGGGAAAAAAGGGTCTTAAGGGGGCAAGAGGAGGAAGAACTCAACAACCCCCCCCCTCTCTCTCTCTCTTTCTCTCTGTGGTGTCTAAATCTTCAATATCTGAGCTTCGCTTGACCTGGAAACTCACTGGTTCTGTAATATTCGGTTTCGAATCGGATTTTTGTGATTCTTAAGGTGAGAATCTCTGAAACTATTAAACTAGTGTTGTTTGCCTCGTTAATACAGTGAGTTTCTCATGAAGTGCCTCTGCTTTGAGCCTCCTTTGCGATGTTTAGAGAAAACTCGGAAAGGAGAAACGCCTCTTAGATTAGTTTTAATGATTTTCTTTTCTATGTAATCTGGTTTTGTTGTTGTTGTTGTTTGAGTAATATCAGCAGAGTTATTGATCTGAACCTGTGCGTTCGAATTTTTCTCTTTGATGATTACATACGTGAGTTCATAATATATTGTGAAGTTCCTAGCTAGGGAAAAGTGGTGACAAAGAGCTTAAGGTTTTGAGTCGTTTCTTACATAATTGATAATTTTGCCTTATTTATACGAGTCAAAAATCTTGAACATCCTTCCGAGCATCTTTCTGAAAAGAAATTTATACGAGATATATGCATAAATATACAATATTCCTATGTAATTTAGTGCATATTCAACACATAAGTCATGAAACCTACGTTATTTCTGTGTATAAGTAAGCGGCTAGTCAAGTGTAATTGTTCCTTTCTTTTATTGATATCAGAAAATTTGACTGTTGAATTTTTATAGTGTTTTAGTGTAATTCTAACATTACTTGGTTCTTATTTTGGCATTAGGAATGCTGCATCTTAGTTTTCTGCGTGGTTATGGCTCTTTTGTCATGCTGCTATTCCTATAATTGTTGTCTTGTTACCCTTTCTGCAGAATAACACAACTTCAGTACACTTGCTTTTACCTGGTAAAACATTGAAAGGTAGACTACAATCATGGAGCCCATGAAGTGAAGAAGTATCAAACTCTCCTGTCAAAGAACGTTGGGTATACTTGCAGAAAGGCATTTGATACTTCTTGAGAGTACTCAAAGAAGTGGTTATTTTTCATGGAAACTTCAGCAAAACATGCCTATGGGTCTGGAAGGTTCTATGTTGAGCACCAAGGCTATCACTCATCTGATAACACCAGCCAAGCAACAACTTACTCTTCAGTTCAAACTTTAGAACAACATTACACCCTAGAATCTTCCTCAAGGACAAACAGTTTTCCAAACCATAATAATTCTCCATCTTCTGCCAATTTCTCACCTCATGACAGCCCCGCGTCACAGCTGGAGTCAAATTCTTATGCGCTAATGCCCCAGCAGTCACTTGAAATCATCAGTGGCTCCCTAGAGGATGAATCTTGCTTGACGAATGACCTTGATGACCTGAGCCATGTGATAAGAGAGTTAGAAACTGCTATGCGGGGAACTGATACCGAAATTCTGGGGATGTGTGACACTGTAGTTCCTATGGAATCTAATCAGATTTTGTCGGAGGCAGAGAAGTGGAAACTAACAACGGACGTAGCATCTAGAGGGGATTTGAAAGAGATGCTTTTTGCTTGTGCGAAATCGATGGATGCAAATGATATAGAGATAACTGAATATCTGATGTCTGAGATGAGGAAAATGGTGTCCATTTCGGGCAACCCAGTCCAACGGATAGGAGCTTATATGTTGGAATCTCTTGTGGCGAGGATGGCCTGTTCTGGAAGTGCAATCTACAAGGCCTTAAAATGCAAGGAGCCTACTGGTAACGAACTCCTTTCCTACATGCACTTGCTGTTTGAAATCTGCCCATACTTCAAGTTTGGCTATTTGTCAGCAAATGGGGCGATTGCTGAAGCCATGAAGGAAGAAAATAGAGTCCATATTATTGATTTTCAGATTAACCAGGGGAGCCAGTGGATAAGCCTAATTCAGGCTCTTGCTGGACGACCAGGTGGGCCGCCAGCACTCAGAATAACTGGCTTTGACGACTCCTTTTCAAATTTTGCTCGTGGAGGGGGCCTCGATATTGTGCGGAAAAGACTAACAAGACTTGCACAATCGTGTCAGGTTCCCTTTGAGTTCCATGCTGCTGGTGTTGCTCCTTCAAAGGTGCAACTCGAAGACCTTAAGCTTCAACCTGGCGAAGCTGTTGCTGTAAATTTTGCCATGATGCTTCACCATGTACCGGACGAGACTGTGGACAGTCACAATCCTCGTGAACGGTTGTTGAGATTGGCAAAGCAAATCTGCCCCAAAGTAGTGACTCTGGTGGAGCAGGAATCCAACACCAACCGGGTCCCCTTCTTCCCCCGTTTTGCTGAGACACTGGACTATTACTTGCCTGTTTTTGAGTCAATTGATGTAGTTCTGCCAAGGGAGCACAAGGAGAGGATCAATGTGGAACAACATTGTCTGGCTCGAGAACTCGTCAACTTAGTAGCATGTGAAGGGGCAGAAAGGGTGGAACGCCATGAGCCTTTGAGAACGTGGAGGTCGCGCTTTGCCATGGCTGGATTTAAGCCATATCCATTGAGCTCCTTCGTGAATTCTACCATCAAGAATCTACTGGAGAGCTACTGCGGAGATTATACTCTAGAAGAAAGAGACGGTGCACTATACCTTGGTTGGATGACTCGACCTCTTGTTGCCTCTTGTGCTTGGAGGTGAAAATCCCCCAGAACAGGAAATTGATTCAATTTTGCCATTGAGGGCTTTTAGTGAGGTAACCTAGTTCTGTATATTTTTATTTCCCTCTGCACTCTTCATTTCATGGTGAAGTTACTCTTTACTTTCGTCAAAACCATCTTGAATTTCATATCAGCAACGTCAGTTTCAGCAAGCAAGGGAGAGTACTGGTTTATATACTGTGAAATTTATCCAGGTATGCGGGCTTGGGCCAAACCTAATAGTCTTTTAGGTGTTGGTCTTAGGCTGACCCTAGGTTCATAATTAAAGGCCCGACATGACCTAAGGACGACTTAAGTTTGAGCTTGATACACATTTATTTTCGTATCAATAAAATTACTAGTTTTTAAAATGAAGAAAGAAAAGGCCTTAAAACTTGGAAACAAACCAAAGTGTTTCCAGCTTACTTTGCAAAGTATCTCTATCCAAGTGAGCACTTCAGAAATTGAATTCCAAGCGTGGTAAACAAATCCTGGGAATAGTGGTTTTAGGATCATTCAGAGTTATTATTCGGAGAATGGCCGTCCCTAAAATATCCCTCTCAAAAAAGAAAAAAAAAGGCGATTCTCTTAACCAGGACGCTCGTAGTTGTATATATTTGTAGTTCTTGGATGCTTTTGATGACTCTAGCTCTGAATGTCCTCAGTGGCTTTGAAGGGTTGTTTACAAAGTTTAACAGAAATTCTTTTTATATGTTTACAAAGCTGAGCTGTGTTAAACTTTCTTAGCAGACAAGGGATTAGGTGCAGAAAACAGAGAGATAAAGAAGAATAGAAATATCTAAGTTCCAAATTCTTATAAACTATTGAGTTGAAGAGTCAAAGCGAGATGCATCTCTACCTAACTCTGAGACTGTGATCTCTGCATTGAAGCGTATTGAGAATAAATGCTGTGTGTCATATGATAAGAAGGATAAGATAAGGAAGAGAATTATGCAAGAGAGAAGGGGGGAAAGGGAGAGAAAGTGGACAGCTATTACCCATTTTAATCGATATGATAGGAGGGAAAAAGAAGATATTTCTTTCTCTGATTTTGTAATCCATTTTTTTGTCTTTCAGCTTGTTACATAATTATCATGTGTGGGTCCTAGAGTTCAACTTCTTGCAAACTAAGATTTTGGCCCGTTTGATTTCCATTTTTTTAAAAAAATATGTTTTGAAAAACAAACAAAAAAAATTAAAACTTGTTTTAAAAGAACGAAAGAAATCAGAAGATTTTTGTGTTGTTTTGTTGGTTTTTGTTGTATCATTAATGACAATCATGTTAATAAAGCAAACTGTTCTATTCCCCTTTATTAATGCCATTGTATTTTCATCTCGGGAAAATATTACTAGCTTCTGAGAATGATTATATTGATGGCGAGAAAAAGGAAAGGGTCATATTGAGTCCATGTTCACTTTGTAGAGTTGTCTTCTGTCATTGAGTACCGTTATTATGAGGAAACTAGAGGGGAGGAGTAGAAAAATTTTAATAAGCTCTATTTAAAAAATTAGAGAAGTTGAGTTTTGAAATTTTAATAAAGAGAAGAAATAATCTAAAAGAATAATAAAAATTAATTAAAGTTTTTTAATTTTTTATTAAAAATTTTCCTGCATTCCTTTCATTTTCCCTCATACCAGCAGACCCTAAGAAAAATTCAAACCCCATACAATTCCCTTTTTTTCAAATGTTTCCAGAATAAGAAGGTGATAAATAATTTTATTCCTTTCAATAATTCCAACATCAAATTATTATACTTGGGATTTGAAGTACAATTTTTTTCCCACAAACTTGTAATAACAAGGTTATAACAAGTCACTGATTAAATTACAATTCCTTACAGTTTTGTTCGAACACTTAAAGAGGGGAAAAAACTAACTGCAGGTTACAATTCAAGGAAAAGAAGGGTTAAAATTAATTACAACTTTTTTCCGAACATTTTAAGTACAATTTACTTGTAATTTTTCGTGTACAACTGAAGAGGTTTCTCATTGGCAAGCACGTCATAAATCACAAAGTGTATTGAACATAAGTTGCTTGAATATACAACAATCTCTCTTCTTACTTACAAACAAGAGTTCAATGAAAAGACTAAACGCCCCTAACATAAAATAGTACCTTTTACAAGGGTTTGTCTTTATAGAAGCAACTCTGAAATCAGCTTCACTTCTGTACAGATATGAACTCCAATTTTAATTTACAAATAGTAATTAGACTTCCAAGTCAACCTGAAGAAAAGCAAGCAGGCAAGCCACTAATGGTAATAAAGATGCAACTTTCAAACAGTTAATCTCCACATAAAAATAACTTATTCGCAGTTTCATAGTGATGATAAGATGTGTTACCTTTTCATCTTTTGCCGCCAGAATGAAGCAAAATAATACTTGGAATTTTTTTTTTGTTTTTTTCAGCAGAGACTAGACAATGTCACGGACCAGTTAGTATTCTTCCTATGCCCTGTGGCTGCGGGCACCGATAAGTGGTATGGTTCAGAGATGAGGACTCTCTAGAAGAACCAAATGGATTTGAGCCATTATTGAAAACACCAAAGTATGCCGGAGCTGGGCCATTATGAACAAACTTGAAATTGGAACTGTTGCTATGAGTTTGATCATTCCCAAATTCAGACAGCAGCATTTGTCCTTGTCCCTTCAATTTATTTTCAGCAGCCGAGCTGATACCCATCCCAAGGTCGAGGCTAATGGTATCGCTTTCTTCTGATCTTATTCGGGTCTGTCCAACTGGAGCTGCTGGTCCTGCTGTATCATGGCTACTACTCCTTGCAGTAGGTACATCATGATTGTGCTTACCCTCATATGTGGTTATTACTGCTTTGGGATCATGAGAAGCCCTCTCCACATGTTTCCTAACAGGGCAACCGGCATTGGTGCATTTGTAGTAACTCCTGCAAGATGAGCGAGCATAGTGAGAAACAGAGAAACATGAGAAGATGCAGCTGGACTCACTTTTATTGTTAGCCTGTAAACTTATGTCCAGGGACATATATTTGATTTCCAGTTCATGCTTTTGAGCCATTTCCAGAACACCAAAAATGCAATTATTATTGCAGTAAAAACTCAATAAAAGCAACGGCACTCCTAGCTAAGTGTTGACTTACTGAAGATTGACATCGTAGAAAGCCACAATGCTTGTCTTGGACAAATAACTATTTTGCTGGAAAATATGTACATATACAACTTCACAACTATAAATGTAATACTAATACACCATAACAATGAAACTAAGAAAAAAGGGGGGTAGGTTGTAAAGCCTGAGCAAAAATTAAACTTTATATGCGAAACTAAAAGAGTACCCTAAGAGTCCCCTAATACATGGATAATATCACTGCAAGAAAGAGATAGCACAGTGCTTATATGATCCTTGATAGCTTGCAAACTGAAACCTCACTTCAATTGTTGTCTAGACAGTAAGCAAAAGACCAAAACAGCTCAATAATGAACGTGAAAAATCTCTAGATGATGAACATATTTTAAATTTTACAACTAAGTTGATCAGTATGGATTAGTTTCCCTGTCATACATGTGAGAACATACCTAGGGTTGGGATTGCCTCTCACCACCTTCTGCCCATACTTTCGCCAGCGATACCCATCATCCAATATGTCAACTTCGCTTAGAGTTTGTACAACAACCCTTGGTTCTCGAATAGGCTTAACTATAGGAGTGATGTCAGCATGTCCATTCTCCATCTTCCTGCATATAAAAAGGCCCAATGGTCGGCAAGTAAACATGGGTGAAACCATGAAAGCTGAGAGCTTGGGCCAAAATTTTTCACACCTTCGCTTTGAGAAGGGGTCGTCATCATCAACTTCATCATTGATCCTATTGGAAGCTAGTCCTGCACCCTCCCGACCATCATCACTTGCTGCTACAACAGACAACTCTGGATTACTGTTGGGCTCAGTAGTGTGAGACACTTGACCATACATATTGACTGTTTTAGATACAATGGAAAAATTAGGATAAAGGAAAAGCCAGCTAATACACTTTGGAAGAAGCAATAACAGTTGGAACTAATGCAAAGCATTTGATTGGTTACCATCTTGGCCAGACAAAGATGAAGGCTTCTCAAATCTCTCCTCATGCATAGACATAATAGTGCCAGAAGAGTATCGGCGACTTGGTTGAGGTTTAGGGTGATCATGGGATCCCTTGTAAATTATCTCAGTGATCTGCCCATCATGAGAACGTTCGAACAGCTTTTTGACCTCACAGTTAGGATGTGTACATTTGTAATAGCAGCGTGGAAATTCACTCCCTTTAACATGCTTCTGCCCATATTTTCGCCAATTATACCCATCATCAGATGTTCTCTCAGTAACTGAGATACCACTATCTTTCACTTCGACTTGTGAAGCTTGAAGCCCATTAGCTACATTGCCTCTGGGGTTAGACCCATCCATATCGGCTTGAACAAGAGCAGTAGCATCAGAACAAACCATTTGGACAGGTGATGATAAACTTAATTCATTTGACGGCATTGCCATCTCACTTTTCACTAATGGTGATGAAGCAGAAGATTGAGCTTGGCTTGAACCTTGTGTTTGCATAGATGGTTCGTTTACATGGCCGTTGAAATCTGTGGGAGCCTGACATTTAGTGAATGAAATTGAGTAAGCACAAGTAGTCTTGACAAACAATAATGAAATTGTAACATGAAATATGATAACCAAACTTGTTTCCAGCTAAGCTTCAGACAAAGGAGCTAGAAAACCATAACATCAAAGGGAATGATCTAGTGAAATATGATAGTGTCGTCTATAGTTAGATATTTAATTAGACTTCACATCCCATTAAATTTAGTACGCATATTAAAGCACAGAAGAAACCCTAGTCCATATATCCAACAGATTAAACAAGATATGTTCATCACCGTATTATTAAGATCAACAAATATTCCATTACCATATTCGATCTATTGTTTGAGTTAAACTCAAAGAAGCTAGATATTTTGTCATCAACAGTATTGGTTTTGAAGCGTACAGTTGTTACAGGATATGTGGCAGGACAAACAGATTCCTGAACAGACAGAGGTTTAGTAAGAGACCCAGTAGTTGGTGAAGGCTCCACCTGCAGATTAAGAAAATAAGTAACAGGAAGTTACAGTCCTTAAAGGGCAGCAATTGCTTAGTTTAATAGAACACACAAATGCAGGGAAAGCACATTTAGTTTCATGGAAAATAAAATGAAACGGGAGGGGGTCATGTTTAATAAAAGAAATGGCCAGTCTCTCAATACCAGCAAATCGTTAGGCTCCAAACATCAATAAAGGAATCAGCAAAACCAGTGGTAACCTCACAAATATTATGCATATATGCCCTCCTGGGAATACCCCACAAACTTCCTGTATTTTTATCCAAAGTGAAAAGGGAGAGGAGAGAACATGTATAAATGTCTGAGATAAGCACACTAACGAGCAGATTTATAAGCGAGTTAAGGCTCACAATGTTTGAGCAAAGGAAAATTTATTTTTCTTCTCTCAACACGTTGGATGTCCATAGGACTAGATAAACATAAGACATGTGGTGGGGTGGTTATATAAATACAACTGTGAAAAACCACTCATAGACGAATCTCGCATAGAATTCTGCACAAATTAAGGCCACCTCGACGATTAACATCTAGATAATTATGTCCTTCCAAAATAAATAAAAAAAACTTGACCCACAATCTTTCTGACATTCCTTATACTATTCTCAGGGCACACTTAAAAAAATCAAGCCACTAATCCTTAAATGCATTTATTCTTTTATTCCAAACACAGATGGAAGATTGATTTTCAGTATAGCCTGCTACACCGTAAACAACAGCTAACACACAAAAAGAGGAAGCACCAACAAAAAGGGAAGATTCATTATGTGAAAAAACAACACTGACATTAAAAAAGAATGTTGAGCGATCCTTAGAGCAAGTCATATTCCAACGAATACTATATCGGGGATAGGGCATAAAGCAGCCAACACATAATTCTGCGAGAGAGCAGGCATCAGAATCCACCGGTCCCAACACAAGCAAGCACCAATATATAAAATCAATTAATTGAAAGGCCAATGAAGAAAAAGCCAACTCAAAGAAACAATCGCCACGAGAAGAAACAAGCACATACGGTGCACTAACAAGAACATCGAATTTTTCATTAAAGAAGGAGCATCTTAGCTCATCAGCATTTAAATCACGTCACAGAAGTAATCAATTATTCCTTCCACAGTATCATCCTAGAGGTGAAAAGCTTGCGAGGGAACAATTAGAGCCCAGCAAAGCAAGTCATGGACCTAGATACGCTCTGTTTGGCCCCAGCCTATAAGCAGGAAAATTGTCGTGAAAATAACAGATTCTCCAAATGTCACTCATTATGTAATAACAGTATAACAGGCTTTTATTTCTCTAGAGTCAACTTATTAACAGTATAACACTATCCTTTACCTCATTGAGCTGGATAAACACATTACACTAACGACTTTACTTTCCCGTTATTATTCTCAGTAGCCAAACAGAGCTAAAAAAAATCTTCAGTCTGTCCCACACACGCACTACATTATCAAGCCAAAGGGGGAAAACCACAAAAGAAACCCAAAAGAAAGAAGCCAGAGCTAACCTTGACGTTGGAGAGAAGCACGGGGGAGTCAAGAAACGAGGAGGGACTAAGGCCAGGCGGAATCGTGATACAGGGCGACCTGGAGATCGGAAGACTAGCAGGAGACATGAGCTTGTACCTTGCACCTCGGGAAACGACGAATTGAGTCGGATCGGAGGAAGAGACCTGGCGGAGCCGGAGCTCCGAAGCTGAGCGAGCCTCGGCGGAGTTGATAGCGGCGTCCATTGGTGAGAGCGAGGGCGGGCGAGAGGAGTCAAAGAGGAAGGAGGAGATGGAAGGGCAAAAGGGTCATTTCACGGATAGTGTGTAAGAGAGAGTGTTTTCCCTTCTGCCCTGTGTTGTCAGGAAGAGGAGGGAAGGAGACGGCGAGAGAGAGAGAGAGGGAGAGAGACTCAGTTGACTTGTAAGTTTGGATCTCTTCTCGGGTTTGTGTGATGGCTTGTCTGAGTTCTCCTCCCATTTTAAACGTTCCCTCCTCACTTCTTTTTTACCTCCTTCAACTTCAACTTCAACCTCAACCAAACCTACCCCCAAAAAAACATCATTAATTATTAATTATTACTTTTTTACTGTAAATTAGGCTTGGCACAAGTGTGAATCTCAATAAAATTATTAAAAAAAAATTTAAAAAAACAAAGAAGCAGGCAAAACTTATTTGCTCAGCATAACCTTATATCATAGTGATATGAATACTTCTCTTACAAATAAAAAATTACGAGTTTGGTCTCATCTGAAATCCCCAATCACTAGTATCTGTCTCCTCTTTTTGTAAAGAAAAAAGAAAAAAATTATTGCCAAAAAAACCTTTAAATTTATTGACACTATACCTTCTTATTGAAAAAGAGAAACTATAGGTTTTCTGGTTAAAGTATAGGTATTCTCTTATTAGAAACAATCATATTCGAGACACTAAATGTAGACACCTCTTTTAGCGGGGATTTGAATATTGGTTCACCACGTTATGAGGAACTAACCATTTTTGCTGGACCTAACCCCGCTGATAAAGAAAAACTATAAGTTTAAATATGCATTTAAGTGTGCGCATTTTTTTAACCAGTAATAATTTTTACTTTTCACACATAATATTCTATATATGTGTATGTGATATTTTTTCCAACAAATTTATAGATGTATAGATATCTTTTTGATCTCATATATTTTGTATAACATTTTTATTTTTTTTAAATTAGCTGCATTATTTGTAAGAAGGAGCCAACGGCTTAGGCATTGGATTGGTTATGACACCATGGGAATCATAGCTAACTAGTGAATAAAGTGTTTTTTCCTTTAATGATTTTTATATGCAAACTAATGATGATAATTAGATCACATAATCTAATAAATTTGTAAAAATTAATTAACCAGAAAGATTTATCATGCCATTTCATTCTAAATGTCATTTTCATTCCAAGTCTAAAAATTTTAGACACGCAAGACCCAAGAGATTATTATAACAACTCAGAAACGTCCAACTTGAGTGGGACCACTCAATCCTTTCAAAAAAACTTTAAAAATAATTAAAAACTAATATTTAAAGGATTTCTTATCTGAAAAAAGCAAAAAGTGAGGATTGTGAGGATTTAACTTTTAGACTTTAAGCCAGGGAGGCTAATGATTGTGTCAAGGCATTATTTACTATTGGACAAGGATTGTGTAACAAAAATGTTTCTATTAATTTCTTTTCCTTTCCTCACTCTATTTTTTAATTAAAAAGTAATTAATTATATGATAATGGCACTTTATTAGCAAGGTAAGATTTGATAGTGAAAAGCAGTGGGAAGTACCAACTCAATGTTACTCTTTACCACACAAAATCACAAAGTGTGAGTGATTGGTGCAAAACTGCAAATCCTTTTCCTTTGAGTCTGAAAGCCCAATTTAAACCAAATTTGGTTCCACAAAGGACTACATTCACATAATTTACACGACTGTCTATATCAACCAATATCACCTAAGCTATTAAAAAAATTTCTTAAAAAAATTCATGTGTTCCTAAATATACATATTAGATAATTAAATTGACGATATTGAAAAATTAGTTATATTAATTATTTATAATAAGTATTTTTTTAATTCTATTTATAGGACAGAGAATGAAAAAAATTTGTATTCCTATTTATAAGGTAGAGAAAAAAGTTTTTCAATGCATAATTTTAACTTTTATTTATTATTATATTGACTTTGTTCTCATGGGCTACAATGTATATTAATTATAGATAAAGTTAAAAATTTGTTAAATCTTAAGATAAAGTTAATAAAATTTAAAATTTTTCTGGATTTGAAACATGTTAAAAGTGACTTGTAAATAAGAATAAAAGAGTCTATTAATTTTTTAAAAAGCATATATAATCATTTGTATTGGAGACTGTCCATGATAGTAATTCTTTTATCAAGTGCACTTAATATGGATAATCTAGAAAAAAAATTATAAATTGAGGAGACAACATAAATTGAGATTTTACATTTAAAACCAAAACAAATCCATACACTAACTCCTATATTTAACACAGGAAGAATTTTTCTTTGTTTCTTTTTTCCCATCTTTTGTTAATTAAATCTAATAGGTTTAGTCTCTTTGTCGGCAATTCCCTGTGTGATTTGTGGATTCAAGTCTCCTGAAGTTCTCAGTCCTAAAATGTCTAGGTTAATTGCATAGAAGCGAACAACGAGAGGTAAGTTTGATTGGGAAATTAATTATTCATAAGCTTTGAAACCTAATCAAGCATCTCTATAACCTTTTAATTAACATACAAACTCTAAACTTTAGTTGGAATTAACTTCAAGTTTTTTTTCCCTCATCTTACTTATTGGCATTAAATTGGGATGAAAGATCCCATGTAATAAGATCATATGGCCTATTTATTTAATTTCGCCTATAATTTATTTGTTTTATTTCAATTCAATTTCAGACCCTTCTTTTTGTAAAAGTTTAGTGCTTATCTTCCTTAATCATATTCTAAAATTCAAGTTTTGTATATTAAGAAAGTTGCTGTTGTAAAATCTAACCTAATTGAATTCAAATTAATCAAAACTCAACATGACTGCCAAAAATCCACGAGCATTAAAAAAATGTATCACTTTTTTGTTTCCCCATTTTAAAGCCATGCATGCGTACATTCATAGATAAATGTGTTTATATATATATATATATATATATTTATATAAGATCAACGAGTGATAATCTAATTGTGACTTCGGACGCAAACAAGAAGTTTAATTAGATTTAAACAGGGGAATTTTTGACTCAATTATTGGTGATCCAAAATCTGATGTCCCTTCAACTTTTAGTCACTATAATAAAGAGGATGTGGTCAATTTTAATGGACGATGCTGCAGAGATCTTGAAGACAAAAAAGCATTTTGATGAAAAATGATTTAATTTAAAGTAGGCAGAATTATATTCACATTTTTTAATATTTTTTATTCAATTATTTTAATTCATGGCAACAATTATTTTTATTTCTACACCTTCATGGAAATAATAATTAGGTATGGAAAAAGGAAAGCAAACCAAAATTTGAGCATTTATCGGCTAGCCATGCATTCAGAAGATTAAAAAAGATTTGGTTGGTTTTCTTTCTTTCTTTTTTTCCAAATTTTTTTAGATGGAGCTATCTCTATCCACCTAAATGAAATGAGTTGTATAATAGAAGGTGTCACATCCATTAGAAGTGCATATGATAAATGTCTATCCAAACTCAAACATCAACTCTCTTTCTCTCTCTGAATGAGTTTTCATTTGAAAGATATTTCTTGAAAGCATGAATCATCCGTCACTCCCACTTGATTGAACCCATCTTCTAGGAATTTTCTGGTGTTCGATGCATACGGTCCTGCATTTATAATATATTATTTAAACTATATATATGTGTACTGAATATGGAGATAATTCTGTTTAAAGTAAGATCAGATACTAAACATTGGGTACTTCTTTAAACAAGAATTCAAATTTTGATTCGTTATTAAACCTAACTTTAGTTATTTTTTATATGATGTATATTTAGATATACAAAATATGAGGCAAAATTTGGTCTTTTGATTGAAAATTTGACAAGGATGAAATTGAGATAATCCCAAGTGTTGCCTGCTTGAGTTTGAAATTTTTGTGGTGTACAACTTATAAGATTGAAAAAATATACGATTAATATAATCTTTAGTCCTTTAAGTTTGTTCTCATTTTGGTTTTAATCCTTCAAATTTCAAATCATAAATTTTGGTCCCTCTAAAGGCAAAATTGTTCACGTTTTTATTGGATTATAGAGACAAATATTTTAAATAAAAAGAAATTTGAATGACCAAAACCTATTATTTAAAATTTGATGGACCAAAACCAAAATGAGGGCAAATTTAAAGGATCAAAGTTTGTATTAATCCAAAAATATATATGATAAAAAGTGATATTACACAAAACTCACGTTCTTTTCTTCTTACCTCTCCTACGTATTTTCTACTGTAAACAATTTAAACGTCTCTCTCTGTAATTTTAATGGGTTCTATTTCGATTCATTCGGACTTCCATTAGAAAAGTCACCAAAAGAATTTGATTCAAATTAAGTGTCAATATCAATCTCATAATAATAATAATAATTTTGAATGACTTTAACCCTACAACTCCTTGTGTAGTTGTATTAAGAAGCGGAGAAAGCAATAATATATAACTATTTTTCTCTTCTGGAATGCAAATTGAGATAGACGAAAATCACTTTTTACGGATACTTTAAACAATTTTTTAAAAGAAGTATTTCCTAATATACTACAAGCGCATCTCCAACTAAACAATAAAAAATTTCTTTGATCATTCTTACTTTTCACAGTAAATTATAAAACAAGATAAAAAAAAAACTAAAGCTGACAGAAACAATAAATTATAATAATAATAATAATAATAATAATAATAATAATAATAATAATAATAATAATAATAATAATAATAATAACTTCAATAGCTCTCAAAATATTTGATTAAAATTTCCACAAATTTATGGTTTTGATCAACGAAACGTCCTAGCTATAACACACTTTAAATTGGTGTTATTCCTTCTTGGTGATTGAATCCAGAGCATTAACAAGTCACAAGCACAAAAGGAAGAAAGCTGGGCAGTCATGAACGGCCTATTTTCAAGGAACGCACTGAGAATACGTCTCAACCATTAGAGGAATAAAAATTTCCATACACTGAGAAAACGAGGTCTCTTACATGTTACATTACTCTCAACTATCAATACAAAAAAGATGAACTTCTTTTGGAAAGGTGGGATGAATATTCTTGTACAAAACATCATCAAATAATAATACAGACACATCTTTTCCGCAGGTAAAAGATCAATTCAAAGGTACCACAGTTTAAAATTTCTCCAATACATCTTTTTTTTACCTTACTCCTACCTTTCCCAGACAGAGTCTAAGAACTTCTAAATGTAAAACAAATTCGAAAGAGAAATAAAAGCTCCATAGCTAATAGCTTGCTCCTGTTAGGGATGAGGAAACTAGAGCTGCGGCAGAGAGACTTAAATGCAGAAATTCCAGGAATGGTCATGTATTCAGCAGTCAAAAAAAATCTACTCATTCTCATGTGGAGGGAAGTAGACACCAGGCATTTATTTACAACAAAGGGAATAAGTCCAGTTGGCAAAGAGAAATAAGACTTCTTATGAACATGAAAACTAATTCATATAGGGAACACTTCAAGAGCACGTCTGGTGCAAAATAGAACTGAGAAAAGGAACAGGAATGGGAAAGCTTTTTCCCATAAACATCAGAAACTTTCTTTCTAAGGTCATTTTGCCATTGTTCAAACGCAGCCTTAAGGTAAAATCTTGAATATGCAAGGCTGAGGCTGATGCAAGATGCAAATAAATGCCTTCAAAAATTGCCTAGGAGTTTTTATTCTCAGGCACAGAACAAAAACTCCCTTGACTACTGACACATGCGCACGCGCACGCACACTAATGTTTTCTTGAGCTTATTCTCCTAATTATCAACCTGAGAGGGAGAGGGAGGTTATCTTAATTGTCAATTATTGAGTGTTCTTAGTGTTCTTAGTTTGACCTCCTGTGAGTAATTGATATACAATCCACAATTACTCACACAGCTTGAGATTTAGCTTCGATTCAAAATCAAGGAGGCCAACCTGAGGAATGATAGATGGTACCCAAACATGCTACAATTTGGGCTTCTTTCACCTTTCTGCAAGAATGAGACATCAACATCTATGTAAATACGCATAGGCATTACCAAAGGCCATTAGTGATCACCATCATTTCAGGTCCATCTACATAAGCTATAAGTTACTCAACGTGCATTAGGTCTCACAGTCTCTGAGAAGGAACGAATTAAAATTTTCTCTTGTCTACTCAATTTATAAGTAGACTGAGGCAAAAATCCGTTGCCCTTCACAGCCAAACCTACAAGCCCATTCAATGCAGGCATGCCAAATGTCAAATTTAAAGAGAACAACATATTGCAAACCAAAAAGGAAACTAAGAGATTGACTTCGCACTTTCAAGACAACCTCAGATGGGTCCATTGGGTCCCCCAGGAGGCCGGTGGGGATTAGAGAGCGCCCAATCCTGCTTTTAGGAGGGATTTCAGATGAAAAAGGAGGGTGGGAAAAGATTAATGTTGAAGATAGAAAATGTGTAAGAGGAAAGGTTCATAAGATAATCAATAAAAATAAATAAACGTCTTTGCCATGCCAACCCTAGATGGATGGTTCATAGGACTGAGTATAATAAGATTAAAAGCATCCTCCTAAACAATTCTTAGAAACATATAATTCTTCTAGGCATTGGCTCAAGTGGAACTTCCCCTGGGCAAAGGAGTCTGGGGTCCTCGTATATGTAGGTTTATCCTGTCCCTTTCACACTCCCAGCTCCCAGTCCTTCGTAGATTGTGACATTTTTTTTCAAAGGGAAAAAAACAGTCAGGAAATGCAAATCCTATGCCATAGGTTTGAATGTTGACATCTAAAGAGAAAACATATCTTATGAAGGTATATGCCCGTTTAGGGGGAGAGACAAAGTAAAATCGAAGACCAAAAATAACTACGCACATCCAGGAAATGTTTTTGATGGCAGATTACTTCCATTCCATACATTGATTTTGAAAAGGCCAACCCATTTATAACTAGGGAGTGTTTGGTTTGGACTTTTGGGCTCTCACAAGTCCTCTTGGGAAACAAGCATTTGGTTAAATGTTTGGCTATTTTCCAAGAGATCAGAAAGTCCACTTGCTTAAGTGCTGAAAGCCCATTTGGTAACAGTGGCATTCTTTTACATTTTTAAAACAGAGACAAAAAAAAAATCATATGTGCATATGAACTGACAGTAGACTCATTTGATAGGAATTTTACCTCAGGCGAATTTATCACCCTACACTATATACGAACACTTTACTTTTGAAATCCCATTTAAGTGCCTTTTGAAATCCCATTTAAGTGCCATCCCTTGCCATGAAAAAACAGAAGAAAGCAAAGCAGTCTTGAAGGTAATGATTAACTCTCTTAAAGATACAAACTGATCAAGTAATCAAAAGCATAAACCTAAATAACCCCTCACAATTCGTAATTACTGAATCTAGTTCCTATCCTACAATCATGGTGATTAAAGAAGCAAATTATGCTTTTGATAACCAGAAACCAGAAGTGCTAAGCCAGGGAGAAACCAAAATGGTGTAACACCACCCCAAGATTCCAGTGTTTAAAAGAGGTTCAGTTTCTTGAACTATTGAGGATAGTAAGATGAATGGTAATAACGTGAAAGACCACTATAAGCAGTGATTCTATCACAATAACCAGATGGAAAATTTAGCTCTGATGAGTATGGATGAGAACCAACTTGACTGGGGTTTCCACTGGAACCCATAGGGATACTGGCAAAATCATAAGACCCAGCTGAAGGACCTGTAGAAGGTGAGATGGTAGAGGTTGATGCCACCATGCTATATGGCATGGCTTGTGAGGTTATGTATGAAATCTGATGTTTCGGCAACAAACCTGTTGACTGAATAAGAGGCTGTTGATACTGGTGTAATGCTGAATTGGCACTACCAACATTCAGCTGGACAGCTGCAGGGGCAACTGGAACAGATATTTGAGGATGCATGCTTCCGCTATGCTGCTTCTGCTCCTGGCTCTTGATATTTTTCTGATGCAATTGATGTTGTTGTTGCTGACGCTGTTGAGACTGAGGTTGAGGCTTTGCAGCAAGAGCAGATAAAGGTCGTTTTTTACCCACCTTCTGCTTCTCCAGCTGTTCTACCCTCTTCTCAAGGCTTGCTATCGGATATTCAGATTCAAGTTTGTGGCTCTGGATGGCTTTAATTACAGACCGCAGTTTATGGATTTCTCTAGATGTGGCCTCAGCCTGCAAAGATCACCATAATAAGTATGAGCGCTAGCACCACAAGTAAGGACATCAATTATAGCGACGCACTTACTGGAGGCTTTCCTTCTTGGAGGATTCTTTTAGCAAGTTTCTCAGAGTCATTCACACAAGCTTTCAAAATGGGGACCGGTGGGATTTTATCGGCAAGATGAAACTCCATAACATACTTGACAGCCAAAACATATTTGCCCCTGTCCACAAGTTTCTGAACAAGATCTGAAAAACAAAAATAATAGTTGTCTAATCTCTTGCCAACAAAACTACCTAAAAGGTCAAAAAGTAATTATACAAACATGACGACTAGAAACAAATGTGTGCCTCTATATGTACACATGTAGAATTCCATCATTAGATGATAAGATCTAGCCCATCTTTTCTCTTGGCATTTTTTATCTTTTACTTCATATATGAAATGTACACAGATCCCATATATCATGTCCACCATAACATACAAACGTCTGAACATATCAAAGAAATTCAAGAAAGGACCGATTTCTATGTCAATATGTGATAAATGCTTATATCAACACGATACTTTACATAACATATTAACACTTGAAATTTGTCTTCCCATTACATGCTTCACGAGCAGATGACATTTATCTATCAAACTAATGTTCCAACCTTGCACATATTGCATATACCTACTCCCAATTTCAATAGTTAAGAACCCATACCGCCCATTTCTTCGCTTAGTTCTGAAATCTTAAAAAATCGTTCAGTCTCACTATCCATCTTCATTAGAGAACCTAGCTTCAAATATAAACTTGTGCCGAAGCCACAAACTTATAAAAATCATAATTCTAAAGGCAAGTCAATATATGATTCTCATAAATAAACCAGGTTGTCACTAATAAGTCTGTAAGCAACAACGTACTACAATTCTAACACAAAGGGTGGAATCGTTCCATATTAGTAATTAAAGTCCTTGAAGCACCAATATAGCCTCTAACAACATTAAATTGAGAGACACTAACCGGACCTTAAAAGAGCAATTGTCTTACCAGGAACTTTATCAGCCAACCCCATAATTCGGCAGAGCTCAGGAACTTCCTTGTTGGTCGCAGCCATTGCGGAAATCTCAACAAGTTCATCCCTGCTGACTTCTGAAACCAAACCATAGGTCAACAAAAGATGCAAATAAGCCAAGGCCCCCAATGCGTCTGTACGATCTTCAGTCATGAACTTCCATTTCCACTCTGCCGCCAACTTCCTAGCCTTCTCTCGCGCGTTGAATTCAATCTTTGGCGATATAGCCCTTAACTTTCCCAAAAAGAGCAAGCAAAAGCTCTTGCTCCTCCGTGCGTCCTTCATGCTATTAGCCCCAGGGAACCCATCCAATGAATCCAGAATCATTGCCGCTGGGTCTGGAGCACAACGTAACGCACCGGGAAGCTCATCCTCAAGACCACTATTTCTTCTAAAATGCTGAATAAAGTGCTTCCTCAACCCTTTGCCATCCATCTTCTCGCAAAGTGCAACCAACGCCCGCCTAGGCGTCACTTCATCAGGTACTACAGACTCTCCCGCACCCAAATCAGCTCCATTCTCGGGAGGATTTGATGATGAAGATGGGTTGTTGAGAACCGAAGCATAATCTTCAACCTTCGGATTTTGATTAGGCAATGATGAAGAAGAAACGGGAATTGATTGGGAAGTTTGTGCCACTTGAGGATCGCATTGGCGGGATTCCAGGGACTCGAGATGGTGAAAACGTTGAATTAGAGAATCTTGGACTGAGGTAAAATGGGAATCGATGTCAGACCATGAGAGACAGGAGGAGGAGGAGAGAAGAGAATGGTGAGCTTGGAGCTCATCGTACGCTTTCTTAAGGTTTTCTTTCTTCGCGTCAATGAGTTTTAGAGCCGCAGAAATTGTCTTCAACGTGGACATTTTGCTGGGTAGCAGCCGGACGTTGAGACTGAAACCAGAAATCGATTTACTAGTATAGTGTTGCAGTGTTAGCCAGATAACTGGTGCGCATAGCAAACCCTAACGAGACAGAATCCAGTTCCATGGAGACGAAGACGAAGTGAGGGCAACAATGCCGCATGGGGATCGGTTTCAGCGTTGTGGTGTGGGCGCTTTAAACCTTACGCCTACGTTAAAACGCGCTGAGATGGAGGGTCGTTTGTAGGAGGATTGAAGGGAAACACCCTCCCGATATCAATTCTTCGGGGAAAAGACATTTATTTTCTGAATGAAAAATGAATTTGACTCCTAATTAGGTTGAATTTAATTTGAATATAATTTATTAGGTTAATAGAATTTTTAATCTCTTCAATTTGTTCTCACTTTGATTTTAGTTCCTTAACTTTCAAACAATACATTTTGATCCTTCAAAAAAAAAAATCCAGATCTTTATTAAATTATAAAAACTAATATATTAAACAAAAAGAAATTTGAAATACTAAAATTTATAGTTTAAAATTAAAAAAACCAGAACTAAAATAAAAATAAGCTTTAGGAATAAAAATTATATTAATCCTGATTTATTTTACAAATATAACTGATTCTTCAGAGTTTGACTTAATTTATAAACATTGGGGAGAACAATAAAATGGTACTCTCTCCGTTCCTTATTATAAGAGACATTTGATGCTTATAGCATGTTCCTATATGTAAAAGACACTTAAAAGTTGTTTCTACTTTTTTATGTTGATTTTCTATTTTACTCATATTTATTATCTCCAACTCACACTCTCTCTCCCTCCCATTTCTCTTTCTTTCAATAATTTAATTGTTTTCTCTCATGCTCTCTCCTTATTAATAAGAATATTTTAAAAAAATTATATTTTTTACACATTAATTGTTCTTAACTAATTTTAACTACTTTTTTTATCAACATAATTCGGTTATTCGTCTCTTATAATAAAAAACGGAGGGAGTATAATTTAAATATGATTTTAATTTTTCTAATATTCTCGTTGGATGATGGCTTTGTCAGGGTGATGATTTTAGTTGCGCTAATTAAAAAGTTAACTTATTTGATAGTTGCTTTGTCCCCTCCCCCCCCCCCAAAAAAAACATGCTTCTCATCCTCTCCGGATCATTTGGACCACTGAGAATGTAACTAGATTTGATTTACTCCTCCGATCCTTAATATAAGACCCATTTAACTAATTTGATTAAATTAAAAAAAATTAGGTAAGTTAGTTAATTATAAAAAAAAGTGATACATTTTTTCTAAAACACTATAATCATCTTTCTTAATACCCCTTATTCCTCTTTTACTTGATTATAGTTGAGGGAGTATCTATAGGGATAATTTAGAGAAAATTGATAAATACAAAAAATGGGTCTTATATTTAGGACCAAAACCAACGTAAGAATTGGGTTCTATATTAAGGACCGGAGGAGTATTTAAATTTAGCCTGAGCTGTTAAGAATGTGATAAAATATACCCAAAAAATCATTTTATAAAATATTTTAATTATAGTGTTTTTCTTGCTAGATACATATATCCTTCTCTATCCTATTCGAGATATTTTCAAATACTAAATGTAAATATCTTTCTTAGCAAAAATTCAAATATTAATTTATCACATTGTGAGGAATAATCTTTTTTGTTAGACTCAATTTTTTTTTTGTTGGGTAAGTGCGGGTATTCTCTTAGTAGAAATAATCATGTTCAAAGCATCATTAGGTACTAAATATAGGCACTTCTCCTATTAAGAATTTAAACTTTGATTTACTATATTATAAGGAACTTGTTTTTTTTTAATTAAACCCAACTCTTTATTAGTGGACTTAAGCTTATTAGTTATAATAGTTTTACTGCAAAACACTCCCAAACATGGATCCATCCCAACAAGTTCAGACCTTCAAGAATAGTCCAGTTTGTCCCTCCTCCGTAAATCAAGTAGTATTACTTCTAATCCTTGATATAAGTTTTAAATAACTAATTTAAAAAGATTAAAAAAATTACAACATTACTTTAAAATATTTATATCTATCTCTAAAGTCTAAATTAATATGAATCACTTATAAATTAATATATAATCTAATAATACATATAACTATTTTAGAAAAATTATGTAACATATGTTATACTCCTCCGGTCCTAAATATAAGAGTCTTATACTAGTGCGTGTAAAGGTTTTATATTTATGATCGGCGGAGTACTACCTGTCGTTTTTAATATAAGAGTTAATTGACTAATTTAATATAAGTTTTAAATAACTAATTTAAAAAGATTAAAAAAATTACAACATTACTTTAAAATATTTATATCTATCTCTAAAGTCTAAATTAATATGAATCACTTATAAATTAATATATAATCTAATAATACATATAACTATTTTAGAAAAATTATGTAACATATGTTATACTCCTCCGATCCTAAATATATGAGTCTTATACTAGTGTGTGTAAAGGTTTTATATTTATGATCGGCAGAGTACTACCTGTCGTTTTTAATATAAGAGTTAATTGACTAGGTTAATTAAATTAGTTATTTGTAATGAATATTTTTTGTTTTTCCTAAAATATCATTGCTAGTCCAGTATATTGGTCTGAATTAACATTATTGCAAGAACTATTTTAAAAAAAATAATACATATGAGAGATAAAAAAATTAGAGTCTTATATTTAGAATAAAAATAAAAATCAGACAAAATTTTATATAAAAACAGGAGATAGTAATTAAATAATTTGGTAATCTTTTCAATTTTACCAAATTAGTTAATTGTATAATACTGTATCATTCTCAGACTTAAGCTCACCGTTTCTGAAAAGCACTTTGGTAGAAAATTTGTCACGTTCTCTTTAGTCATTTGGATGGAAGGCGGAGCGCGCGTCGGCTCGGCATCTGGACCGTTCGCGTTGGTTTGGGTCTCGGAGGCGGCATTGACACGGAGACGCGCCGCCGCACACGGCATTAGACATTGACCGCGACTTTGAAGTTATGATTAAAACGATAAAATAAAACAGCACATGAGCAACTTTGGATCCCACTAACCAAGGTAAGGCTCCTGGATATCCCATTCCCATGATGAGGGAACTCGGGTTTGGACTTCTGACTTGGTCTCACGAAACATGATGCACAGCTCTTTTGAAAAACCAAAGCAGTCAAAGAAATATGGAACCAGATTCAGTGCCCATCCCTTTGATGAGCACTATAAACTCATCAGATCTGAATCGTCTATATCTCATTTGGATGGTTCAGATTTGATTTTTTTTATTTATTTAAAATAATTATTTTAATATGTATAGAATCTAAAATGGTAGTGATCTCTTAACTGTTATTCTTTCAAAAAAATAATTTTCTCTATTTAAAAATAGTTAATTAAAGATTTTAAATCTGAACCGTTTAAATCAGATATAGACGGTTCAAATCTGATGAGCTTATGGTGCTCATCAAAGTGATGAGCACCAAAACTGGTTCCAAGAAATATAGAGGAACTTTTTGATGGCAAAAATGTAAGAAAAATTACGCAAATTCTAGATAAAAAATTAATCACTATTAGGTTATGATAAATAATTTATGAAAATACAAATTAGATAAGCTATAAATTTATAAATATAATTCCAAAATATCACCCTTGTTTTTTTTACTTTGAACCAAATTTAAAATTAATTTTTATATTAGGTTTATATTATCAGTATCCATATTTTAAAACTAATGGCAGAAAATTTTCTATTTTTATACTTACTCAAGTATTTATAAAATCGATCATCAATAAAGAATCCATCATCTAAAAGGTTGAGAGCCAGATTCTTATTAATTGTTTCAATTTGTTAGCGCAAGTCATTTATTTTAAGAGTGCTAGTCGTTTTCAATTATTTTTTTAACATATTATGAGAGATGATGAATAATTATATAGCATGTATGTATTTAATTATTATCTATAATTATAAATGGAATTATTGATTAAGTGGGGAATTGAAACGTTTATATAAATTAATATTATAAGAAATTAGTACCAAAATATAATTTCAACAAATCACATTATTTATAGGGAAAATCGTAAAAAAGAAGACCACAAAATAAAAAAAATTACAAATAAGAACCCATTGTCCCATTCCAATATTAATGTAAGTGTTAACAATAATAGTATAAGTTTTGACAATAATTTTTATGAAGAGGTTCCTATATATAATTTTTTAATTTTAGAGTCTTTTTTTACTATGTTCTCATATTTATAGTAGTCACGCAACGCCTCTGATATTATTATGCGGAGCGTGAGTAGAAATTTATGGCTTGAATTCTCTCTCTTTTTACCACCGTGGTTTGAATTTTCTTAATGAATAAAAGAGTATAATTTATTTCTTAAATTTCATACGACAGACAAGGCAAAAATTCAATTAAAAACAGCACCTCACAATACTCTTTTAGTTCTTAATATAGAACTTAATTATTGAGTTGGTTTTGGTTCTAAATATAAGACTTATTTCTCATATTTATTAATTTTCTCTAAATTATTTTTATGGATATCCCCTCAACCATAATTAAGTAAAAAAGGAAGAGGGGTATTAAGAAAGATGATTATGGTATTTTAGAAAAAAACATGTCACATTTCTTATAATTAATTAACTTATCTAACTTTCTTAATCTAATTAAATTAGTTAAATGGGTTTTATATTAAGGATCGGAGGAGTGCTTTCTTTCTGTGGTCTCTTGAAATTGATAGGCCAATACGTAATTGTAACTTTTTTTTTTTAATTTCTCAAAGTCAAAACATCATTAAAAAGTAAATTAAAATCTCACAAAACTACTAAAAAATATAAATATAATGTGGGTAGGGAAGGAGTTGAATTAAATTAAATATTGAATAAATAGTAGTATTTTTTTTGTGTGAGATAAAATATTGAACAGTAGTATTGGTTGAAGCGTGGAAATCTAATCAAATCCGAATTATATTGGATTACCATTCAACTACACCAACCTCGTTGATTTCTATATAAGCCACCGCCGATTTCGCCTCTCTTTCTCCCCTTTCTTTCTCATTCATCGTTCTGTTGTGCTTCCTTTTTCTCACAAAGGAGCTCAAGCTCGTTGCTTCTTCCCTCCTCCGGGGTCA